ATGAAGGCTGTGTTAGAGTCCCCTTGAGGAACAGAATGATTGGGCAGGGCTAGAGGTTGCCTAATGTGCATGAGGCATAGATTCTAGCCTTAGTGCTGCAAACACCAGATCAGTGATCTAAAACAACAACAAGAAACAAGGCACCACCAACACAGAAACAAGTCCCCCAAAGGCCAACAAAACACAAAATAGCTATATCCGCATTATCAAAATACCTTGAAGTTTCCTGATTGTTTCTTCCAGCATGCATCTCTGTCACCTATTGGTCTATAGATGTATACGTACATATATAGGATAGGAAATTGGCTCATGGGAATGATTGAGGCTGACAAATCCTGGTGCCCTCAGAGAAGGGAGATGGGAGGATCTCAAGACTCAAGAAACTTCAATGTGCAGGAAAGCTGGAACTTACAAGATTCATGAGGTTTCCCTCACCTGAGGTTTATTTATTTGTTTTTTTAGATTTATTTTTTTTTTGTGTATGGGTGTTGTGCTTACATGTATGTCTAATGTATGTGTCAGTGTGTCTGGTGATCCCAGAGGTCAGAAGATGGCACTGGATCTCTTGGAATTGGAGTTTCGGATGTGAGTTACTATGTGGGTGCTGGGAATTGAACCTGGGTCCTCTGTAAGAGCAAGTGCTCTTAACTGCTGAGCCATTTTTCCTTAGGTGACTTGATAGTGTGACTTCTTGCCTTGTCAGTGGTTTCATGGGCCTTGCAACCGAATCAGAGTCCTCTGTCCAGAGTGAATATCTGGGTGAGGATTCCACAGGGGAAAATCCAGGACGGATGTCTTCTTGTAAGCAGTATGAAATGACATACCCGTTTTATGAGTGGGTCTGCTCAGTGGGTAGAGATGCCTTGAGAATGGTTGACGGTTTAGAGCAAATTTTATGGTTCTTGGGAATAACACACGATCCATAATCTGCCCTGAAGGTTGTTGGCTTCTGCTATGTGCAGTAGGAAAAGCATTTGAGGCTGAGATGACTAGTCAGTGGGAACTTGCTCATGTAAGGGAGGACAAATATGCGCCCATATTAGCCTCTAATTTGGTGGGTAAATTGGATAAAAGAGGGAGAGATGGAGGTGTGGGCCTGCCGTTTCTCACAGTGGTCTGGATTCAAGGGAGAATGCATGTTAGATCTGGACTGAGACCCCTTTATGAGGTCCCAAATCTTGGAACTTGTGGGAAGTGTCATGGTGAGGATGAAAGACATGAGGTAAAAGCTATAGTAAAGGACCCAGAGAAAAGAGAAACAGTGTTTGATGCCCAGTTCACCAAACCAGACCGAACCAGGTTTGTGGTAGAGTTAAAAAGGAAGTTGATTTAACATGGACCAGGAGGCAGGCATGGTGCCCTCCCAAAGCCACTGTCTCTTTTGTGCAGATCAACTTGAATGTTTCTTTGCATGTTCTATAACCTTTTTATTTTAATTGAAATTAAAGATTTTAAATACATTGTTCTAACCTTAGATAGAAATTCCTCTCCATTCACCTTGGGCTTATTGGTTATGTTGTTTGCCTGTTTACTAGTTTTGTGACATGATGGACTATTTCAGTGAAATTTTTTCCATCATAGTATGTCTTAGATGGTGTGGGTTTGGGTGTGTGCACAGTCTCTCTCTCTCTCTCTCTCTCTCTCTCTCTCTCTCTCTCTCTCTCTCATCTATCTCTCATCTATCTATCAATCAATCCATCTGTCTATCGATCTCTATCCTAGAAACAGGGTCTGGGTCTATGTGGCCATGGCTGGACTGGAACTCACTGTGTAGACCAGGTTGGCCTTGAACTCACAGAAATCCCTCTGCCTCTGCCTCCTGAGTGCTAGGATAAAGGTGTGCCCCACTGCACTGGGCTTCACTGGGCCTCTTTTGGGCTTTCCCTCTCCTTGATCTTTATCATGTCCTCTGACTCTGCTGTTGTCACACCCAGATGTTAGGCACTGCTAGCTGCAGGCTAATTATCTTACTTCTGTAGTGCTCTGCTGGTATTTCTTGCTCTGTGTGCTTCTCCAAGCCCACCTTTGCACTGTGTGTGGTATTTCAGTCTCTTGTGGTATATGGATTCCAGTCCTTCCAACTCCTTTGAGTGGATTAATTTTAGAGTTTTTCTACAAAAATAACTATGAGCTAATGGCTATCTCCAGCACCCAAGAGATGGAAATCTTGGGTGTGTGTGGGTTATCCAGCAGCAAATACTACTGATACAGTAACAAATTTGCTTCTTTGCTAGTTTTGGAAGTTACAGATGCCCTTTCCAGCAAGATCTGGAGTTCAGCCCTATGGCATGGAGAGCAGCATCTTCCTATGAGGCTCTGCCTGGGCCCTAGGAGTAGGGGTTGTTCTTTATGCCTGCAATTCCTGTTTTCCTTTGGGTCCTACTTATACCATGGACCCTTTCTCATAGTAATTCATAGTAGCATATATTAAGCTTCGTGTTGCAATCTGCAGATACTGTGTTCTGGCAAAACTCCAGGTATTGCAGGAGCTGTGTGAGGCTCTAGGGCAGGAATTAGCACTTTTATCTCTTGGAATAGCTTTATCTGCCTTTTCTCTGACAAAGCCTTGCCTTCAGCTGACAAAGGCAGAGAAAAAACATTTCAAGGTTCCAGATTCATGTTTGCAGGGCAGACAGAAGTTATGTGTTTAGAAACAAGAATGATTGATAACTGGCAAAGCCTCAAATGTCACCCAACAGCAGAAACTCTGGGAACATGGTGAAATGGTTTATGAGAATGAGAATGAATCCACCAGTACACATAGCATGAGAGGCTGTCACGCCCATGGTTCTGCATGGAAGACTGAGTAGAAAGTACTCTGCATGAGTCTATTAATATTCAGTTCAGAATCCAACAGTAGGTGTTTCCGTTGCAAGAAGAGCAGCTGTCTTTGTTATGTGTGAACTGGGGTATGTGTGTGCTAGAGATGCTTGACACCCTGATTTGGGGGCTGGGCTACTTGTGTTGACTTTGAGATGTTCATCAGGTAAAAACACTAACTGCTCAGGTTTGGTGATCTTAGTGAAATTCCTGGGACTCACGTAAAAAGCTGAAGGCAGTACTGTGCATCTGTAATCCCAGCACTCCTGCGGTAAGATGGGAAGTAGAGACAAGAGGATGGCTTGTAGCCTGGGGTACTTAGCACAAACAACAGGAGAGACCCTGCCTCAACAAGGTGGGAGGTGAAAAGCAACTCTCAAAAATTTGTCCTCTGAACTCTGTATGCTCACTGTGGGTAGCACATACATACACAGAAAGTAAATTTAAAAAATTATATACCTATCATTGAGTGTACATTTGCATTCCATACATTTATAGTGGTACAATTCATTGTGCCCAAAAGGTAGAGACAACATGAATGTCTGTCCATGGATGAATGGTTGAAGAAAACAGGTAGACTGTAGCTCAGTGGTAGAGCATTTGCCTAGCAGGCACATAACTTCTGTGTCCATCCTTAGGATATTCATGGGGAATAGAAAGGAAATGTGGTATGCATATAGTGAACTATTTAGCCCTTAAAAAGAAGGCAGCCTTGCCATATGCTACAGGATGGAAAGACTATGGAGACAATATGCTAAGTGTAACAAGGCAGTTGGGCAATGGCAAACATTATGTAATTGCATTTATGAGGTGTCTATGGCAGCAGACTCTTAGAAAGTGGAATCATGGTTGTGTGGGAGGGAGGGGAGCTCAAGGTGTGTAGTGTCAAACCCTCCCTGGACCCTGAGGATATAGCCCGTACAAGGCTCCAGCCATTAGATCCTGTCCCATTGTTCTGGCCTCTGCATTAGGCAGACCTTTAGCCACACCTGGGGTTGGTCATACAGCTTGAGAGTCCTTGGACAGACTGTCCATCTTTTGGGTCCCGTAATTCGAGAAGGAACTGGACTTCATCCAGCCTGATTCCTTCTCTGAGAATGGTGTGTGGATAATGTTTTGCATACACTTTTCTTTTTCCAGGAGGGAGGGTAATGATAAGAACCATTTGAAAATAGGCTTGACATACACTTGCAGTGAATTCGTTGTGTGTCAGAGCCTTCTCTGCATTCTAAATATTTTCTCCTCAGTGGGAACTTTCATCCTTGCCACTTTATACTTTCTGAAAATTAATAGCACGTGTAAGACTGTTGTAGCATGACATGGCCACTGTCCTCTAGAACTATCAGGAGCTGGAATTCTGAAGGAGACCTATTCAAGATTGAGTGTTTCAACTTTCTGTCATGGAGTGGGGAGAGGCTCATGAAGAATCTCCCCTGCCCAAAAGCAGTTAATGGTTGCTCAGAGAGATTTTGTTTTCTTCGGTACTGTAGCCACCCATAAGTTACCCATGTTCCTGTAAGTAACACCAATTAAACTCCTAGGTTCACCAAACTACTCTTGGGTGTGATTGCTTTTGTTTCCATCACTGGCACCTATTGGTGATGAGAAGGCATTTATTTCTAGCTGCTCAGAGAAAAGTTTATACAATGGGAAGGCCGCAGACCCGGAAAGCAGAAAAGGAAGTGTTTAAAACCATGCAAACTGACATCTAGAACCAGAGAAGTCTCTGCAGCCCCTGCATTCTAGATTGAAGAACTAAATAGGGAGAGAGCATGGAACCAAGGAGCTGGGGATGGGAAGGACTTTGCCTACCTTAGGCAGACTTTGGTGCTACAATGGGCTCATCCCAGGCCTTGGGTGAGGGAGTCTATGTGACCCATATCAAACCTCCTTCTGGGACCTTATGGAGTTGGAGTGCAGGAAGAGACCTATCCTGATACTCTTTTAAGCCCCCTCTCAAGTCCTTCTTGGTATGATTTCATGGTCCATTAGTTACTAGATGAACAAGTTCTTCTGGCTCCAATTGGTTGGCTATCTAAGTAGACAGGTCAGGCCATTGTGTCAGATGAACTCTGGAAGGAGAGGGTGGAGGCCACAGCCCATAAAACTGGGTCAGGTGCTCCTCATACATATTTTCAAGGGAATTTCTCAGAACAGCAGGTCCTGTGGGCCTCAGGATCATGACTTCTCTGTGGCTGGTGCTGTTGGAAAGCCTGTCTACTTTTGTCCTGGGAGTCTTCGTATGGGCTGTCGTTCAGCACTTTCTCAATGTGGAAATCCCCTCTGCCTTGCAGCATTCAGTCAAGTTCAGGGTTATTCATTGTCTGGCACTGTTTGTGCTCACACTGGTGAGTCTGCTGTTATGGGGGACTGTGGGTTAAAGGTGTTATCTATAGCTCACTGCTTCCTTCTCCTTCTCTATGTCTTCCTCCATTTCCCATCCTACTCTTTCTGTATCCCTCCAAGACTGACTTGGGGGAGATCTCCTGTTTCTTCCTTTTCTCTCTCTTTTCCTTTCTCACTTCCTTTCTTCCTTTCATTTTTATTCCTCCATCTCTTTCCTCCCCTTTTCTCTTTGTCCCCCACCTCCCACCCCACTTTTTGGAACAGAGTCTCATGATGTAGCCTAGCCTTGCTTTGAACACACAACCCCTCAGCTTCCTTCTGAGGGTTGAAATGACAGACCTGCATCACCACTACAGTCTACCATACTTTTTTTCTGAGGACTGAGAAAGCAATTTCAGACCAGCTGAAAGCTTATACCCTGAGAGGTCTAAGAACACCTTCGACAACAGCCTGTTTCTCCTTTCCTCGTAATTTCTCATCTCCAAGTGTTTTATATTGATGTGAGATCTGAGGCTAGGGACTACTTTCTCAGGCTTGTCCTGAGCACAGAGCAGGCATTGTTTGCTTATCAAATCACTCATGTGATGTATTTAGGCATCTTTTCCGAATGGGTGCATTGGACAGCTAGGTTGGCTGTCCAAGACTGGTTTGGCTTCATATGGGAGGCAGGGAATTTGAATTAATGTTAGATGTACTAACTTTTAGTGGAGACACAGCCGTGACCACTATAGTGAATTCCTCAGACATTTGGGAAGGAGGAGAGAGCTGAGAAATTCCTGTCCATGCCATCTGGTGTGTATCTATTCTGCTTTCATTGGCCATGATAGATGGGAAGTCAAGGCAGCAGGGGCTTGAAGCAGCGGGTCAAGCATCCACAAGTGGGAAGAGAGAACACTGAACATACACTGCAAGGTTTTCTTCCTCCACATACACGGTTCAGGAACCCAGCAAGGGAATAGTGCCACCCACAGTGGATGGGTCTTCCCTCCAGAATTAATGCAACAAGGACAATCCACCAAAGCCATGCATAGAGGCCCATATTCTAGATTTTAACAAATTGACAATTAACACTATCACAATATAGCACCAATCACTCAGAAAGCATGCTTGTGATCTGCATACACAGTTAATATTCTTCCCTTTTCCAATACCAGTCCTTACCTCTTGTAAGGCATATATACTGCAACACCCTGTAATGTTTTCTGCAATATAGTTTATATTGGCAAATATATTGACTTGTTTATAATTAGTGTATATATATTATCAGAAAAACACCTGTGGTAAATATTCAGCCCTGTGTTTTGATTACCACTTATGGACCCACACGTAAGTCACATTTCCTTCTTTTTTTATTTTATTTTATTTTACAATACCATTCAGTTCTACATATCAGCCACGGGTTCCCCTATTCTCCCCCCTCCCACACCTCCCCTTACCCCCAGCCTACCCCCTATTCCCACCTCCTCCAGGGCAAATCCTCCCCCAAGGACTGCAATCAACCTGGTAGACTCAGTCCAGGCAGGTCCAGTCCCTTCC